CGTGGTTCTAAAATGTCTTCTTAATTACCTATTTTTGTTGTGGATATTGTTATTCGACATATCAAATATATGCACTTGTCTTTCAGCATTGCAAAAAAAAATCTATTTCCCATTCTTTATGAAAATGATACGTTTTTTATTTCTTATGTGCACTCATACTTATACATTTTAAAGAACTTAAATACGTTATTGTAAATGTAATACAACAGACATCTAATGGACACAGTAAAACTAACATGCGTGAACTATAAATATTTGACAAATGAAACCAGAATAAAAGATAAAAACTATACAGATAAAACTTATCGACAATTTGCTCACTAAAACTTCAATTAATTTTTGTGCACGTATCCCTAAAATTAAATTCTACCATGATCGACTTTAAAATTTCCGCGATCGACCGTTTGGCCGTCCCTGTCTTATAACATATTTTAATATTGGACCAATATATTTATTTATTTTATGTCTATAGCCAGAGCCGTCATAAGCACTTCCAGGGGCTGGGGAAAATTAATTCGGGAGCCCTTAATTATTTCACTAATATACAAATATGATAAAAACTATACCAAATTTGCAAAATGTTGGTAATTATAGTCTTCCAAACTTCAACCAATCAAGATGCATTAAATGCATCGATTCAACGAATTACACTTCTTCGAATAACTTCTCAACAATATATTACCTGTTACCAAATTTAATAAGAATGTAATTTATTCTAGATAATTAATAAACAGCCATAGAAAATAAAAGCTTGGATGTTGTCTGATTGATACTTCCGATAACGAACTCCTAGGTAAATTTTGATAAAATTACATCATTCATCACTAATTACAGTTATAAGTATTTAGAACTTAGACTAACTGAAAATTTAACTAGTACAATTGCGCTTAAATATAAATTTAGAAATAATATATTGATATTAATAATCTCTAATGGGTAACGCCAAGTATTTCTAATCAATCAGAACTTTAAGGTAGCCCCTTTAAATTTTCCTATATTGGGACCTGAAGTAAAATGCTCCCGTTGCCCACCCTGATGATAGCCCTGCTTGTAACACAGGTTAACCGTTTAACAATGAGTGACCATAATCGAAAAGCTGAACCCCAAATGATAAACTAGTACCTACCTACATCCACGACTGCAATTAAATCGTTTTTATTTAAATAGTATTCTAACTGCATGCTACCAGTGGCCTCTCTATGTAAATTGGATGGTCGTTAGTCGTTGTTATAGGCTTTATGGGCTGGTGTTGGTGAATTTAATAATTTGTTACATTGTTCATGTGCCTAAGTAATATATATATATAGTCTAGTTTAAATCATTTTTAGATGGGGTTGGGTGGTCACCGTTATGTTCGACCCATGTTGGTAAGATTATCTGTGCACCACAGCATATTACATGGTGTGGTATTGGAAATTAAAACCTGATAAAATAAATGTTTAAAATGTTTAATATAAATTAAATACCAAGCAGGCATATAGATTATAGATACTTCATGTTATAATAGGTATTTACAATAAATCATCGATCAAAATTTTTATTTATAAAAAAATGATTTAATTATTTGTACAGGAGTATATTATAAGAGGCAATAGAATAGTTATAAGATATTTCTTTGCTCATTTTGTTTTAAAATATTATGCAGTACTTATACTAAATATTATGTAGTATTTAATAGTTATTTTGAATTTTTAACAAATCACCACGCATTTGTTAATTTTTATTTTACACTGAATTATTTATTCAGCATAGTGATTTTTATTATTTAGATATATAGACAACTTCAGCTGGCCGACAAGGTGCATAAGTTTTTAAATAATGTCATTTTATCATATACAATTTTCTAAAATTTAAATTTTAGACCTAAATTTCAATGGAAAATTAATATTTTTTTTTTTTTTAGAAGACTTTTAAAATACTTTTCAGGTACATAAGTTATTCACTCATATAATTTATACATCAAAGTAAAACTTAAAACTTTTATTTCCATGTTCCTGTATCAGGAAAATGTATTTCAAGACGTGATACGTTAAGCGCTTGTAAACGTTTATTAAAAAAAAAATTATCAACAAAAGATGTTAATTAGTACAGAAATCATTTAAGATTGAATGAAGATCAATTTGGAGTACTTCTATATTGAGTTTTACTATAGTTTTATTAAGAACTGAAATTAAAATATATTCAAATATAATAATAATAATAATAATAATAATATAAGGTTTAAATCAGGGACCAGAACCGTAACCGAAAAGAAACGGTACTGGAACCGGTTAACCTTTAAAATTTAGGAACCGTAACTGAAACCGGAACCTTTATTTCCAAAAATGAAAAATCGTAACCGTAACCTTAAATAAAAAAGGGTTAATTTAGGTAATTTATTTAAACTAGTAAAACTATGGTAATGACTTTTGTTTGTTCATTTGTCGATTCAAAAAAATAAAAGTTAAATCTTTTTATGTTTTTATTATTTTGTGATGTAAACTGTAATAGTTTAACGCATATAATTAGTGAATTTGTAATATTAATATTATTATTATTTTTATATGTTTATTAATATATTACAATTTACAATGAGTATATCATCTATGTTATCTATTAAGTATTGAATATAATTCATGTTTATAAAAAGTTTATAGCTATAACAGTAGCCAGTATTAACTTTGATTTCTAATTAAAATTAAATTTTAAATTAAAGATATTCATTTCATCAAATCATAATGTTTCACAATATTACAAAATATTTTACAAATTCTTACTATGAGTTGGAATAAATTAACTCAAGGAAATATAATAGGCTTAGAGTAACCTGGGGTAAGATGACGCATGAGGTAAGATAAACTATTATCAATAAATTATTAAGATTTTTAATTATGGACATACTGTTTAGTGTTTATCAATGTACCAGCTATGTTTATCAGTAACACAAAAAAAAACGAGATTTACTTGAACAACAGCTCGAAATGAGATAAGTTTTAATTTTTTACTTTTTGATGTAATATTTAGATAGAATAAAATTAGTTATTCACACTGGAAAAGTTATTTATATAGGAATCTTTTTTTTTTCACCATTTCAATACTATATTGGCTATTATTTATCATGTATTATGTTCTGATAACACGAATGCTTATTTGTATACAATTTTTTCAACAATGAAAAGTATACTGGGGTAAGATGGCATATTCGATTTGGGGTAAAAGTGCGCATTTCAGCATATGATGTTGACACCTACATATTTATATGTTTGAAATTATAATTATATGTATTAGTACCTACATAGTTATTATAAAATTCATATTATTTACAATTTGAGCATCTAAATATTCTAAATACTTGTGTATATTTTTAGAAACTACGTAAGTTATTACCTATATTTATTTTATTTTATTTAGTTTTAAAATGCACGAACTGAAATATTAATAATTTTTGTTTGGTTAGATCTACTACTGTAGTACCTATCTACTTGTTAAATTTGTTTATTTTGTTGTTTTTGTTTTACTATGATTAAACAAAGTTCAATAAATTGTTCAATAGTTTTTATTTGTGTTGTTATGTTTTAACATGTTATAATTTTTAATATAAATATAACTATATAATATGTCTTAAAAAGTCTTTATTATTATTAATTTTATAAGCAAATATAATTAAAATAGACATTTATATTAAATTATAGTGATTACAATTGGTAAAATATATATTTAAGAATTTATTTTCCGTAACAAGATTAATTTAAAATAAAGACTTTTGCTTGCGCCCTTTTACCTCACCATGTGCGCAATCTTACCCCAGTGTTGGGGTGAGATTGCGCGTATGACTTATGTTAAGTTTTCTATGTTTTAAAACTAATCTATTCAAAATATTAAAGCTTTGATTGAAAAAATGAAATGAAATGAATATTTGCTATACAAAAATAACTTTTTTTTGTACCTAACCTTCTATATTCATGAAATGGAACAATTACAATTTAGACAAGAATAAATGAATAATTTCATATTATTTTTTAATAAATCTCTAATAATCAGAATTAACAGAAACTAACCGGTTCTAGAACCCATACTCTTTTAAAAAATCGAAACCTAAACCGGAATCCTTAAAAAATTAAATGAACAACCAAAATCGAAACCGGAACCGAAAAAAACCTATAGGTTCCTGTCCCTGGTTTAAATATATAAATTAATATTAAAAATAATCAATAATTATAATTTATATTATTTATTTATAATATTTAATATCAAGTTCAAACGTTTTAGTTGCCTTTCATGACGCGATACTGATAATAAGAAATCATGAAAAACAGAAATAGTTTCTAAATGACTGATAATCAATTTTATTGAATCAGTCATACTAAAAAAAGTGTTCACACGTTAATAACTTGTTCAATTTTAATGAATCAGTCATAATGATCATCTTAACTGACACGTATGAACCCACCTTAAAGTATTATATTCTATATTCAGTATTTAGTACAATTGTTTAATTTTTATTTTTTTTATTATTTTAACTATATGACAAATATTATACACAATGTAAATTATTATAAAACAAACAAATTTTGATTTCGTAAATCGCTCAGAATTTCGGAAACATTATTTTAAACCAATACCGCAAATGGAGCACTTAACATTTAAAAGGGCGAGAGATAATTATTCAACGGTCTTTATTTGACAATATACTTACTAATCTCAAAGTTTGTTCGTTTTATTAATTTTTAGTACATTATAATAACTTCAGATTTTTTTATTCTATCACAATAAGTTAAACATACATTTTCAAACAATATTAACATTTATTTAAAATAATATAAATATTTACAATTAATTATACACTAGTTTAAACAACATAAAATTAGGTTTGTAGTTCAATGCATTTGGTGTTTTTATACATATAATAAAATAATAGATATAATTAAAAAAGATAGAAAAAAAAATTGTTTAATGAAATGACTGAAAAGTGTACATCGTACAAAATAATACCGTTGATTATAAATAGTAATCAATGATAATATTTATTACTCAGAATCTAGTATATTTTGGGAAAACAAATATTTTAATGATAAAATATACCTTGTTAACATGCCAAAACTAAGTTTATAGTTAGAGAGAAAACTCACCAACTTTTCTGGTTAGAATGTTGATATATTTTTACCATAACATATATATAAGTATATATATATATATATATACAGTCAACAGAAAAGAGTTTCTCAAAATTTGTACATTGAAATAAATTGATCTTCATTATCGACTGAGTGCAATCATCGGTTCGTATAACTCTTTTTCGCCCATATGCATTTTTCTTTTAGCTTTTATTGTTTTATCCTTCTCGTTTTCTAAATGTTTATTCAACTTTCTCTTCGTTTTTGACTTGACCTTCTCTTCGCTGGCAGGTAAATCATCTATTGGAGCGTATACCATATGGTATTGTGAGAAAGACGACTTGGTTGGAGCTGTGATATCCGCAAAGTCTCGGAATCCAGCAAAAAAGTCATCCGGATCACGGAATGCCGATGGTCTTGGATTTCCAGAAAACCTATAGAATATACGTAGAAGTTTATTAAGATTTATAATAGTTGACGTCAAGGAAAATCAATCTAAACAACTGCGTGCGAAGGCATCATACATTTATAAAGAGTATTGTGAAACAATTAGTGTATATAATGATTTATAAATTATCATTAGATTCTTAATAATGTACCAAAATTAATTACAATAAATTTATATATAGGTACTTATTACATATGATATACGTATATGTACCTACTTACCTACCTACTTAGAATACATCATTATGGTTATCTGTAAACAATTATATGTAACTAACAATTATTCTGTATTCTTTAGTGCCTATCTTAAGTCTATAATAATTAGATAATCATTATAAGTTGTAAATTATAACAATGTTATAATTGTATGTAAATTGTATTTATATATGTATTTGCACTACAACTATATGTCATATAGTTGTAGTGCAAATACATAAGGTGCGTAACACATAAATTATTTAAATCAGATGTACTAAAAAACATAAGATAAGCATTTTCAAAAAAAATGTATGCTTGTTTTTAATTTTCTTCAGAATTATATAAGTTGTTGGTGCTTCTTCTTAATTGTTTAAGTAATAATTATAAACGGTGTTGTTTAATGTCGTCAGAATTCGTTTACGTAACAGAAAATAGTTATACACATACCGTGTTCAAATTTCATCTATTCCAAATGTCGTTGTATTAAAAAAAGGAGGGTTTACTGGTCCCTCTCCTCGATAATATTATGGTTACTCATCTATTCAATTTTATCATATTTTCTTACCGTGCATGTATGTGCACAAATCGTATATATCTTTCTTTCAGAAAAAAAAATTAAAAAAAAAGGAATAACACATTGTTAATTCCAACACGATTATTTTCAAATCAACCAGTAAAAGCTTACAAGTAGTATTTGATGCGTTGAAATTAGTTTAGTAAACCGATCAACCGGTTAAGTTTAGAAGTTATGATTGACGAGTTCTCGCACAGTATACGTATAAGGTACACATACAATATTGCGATCGAGTTCATAGTATTAAAATGTGTGCGTAAGAGCATTAGCATGTTCAAGCTATAACTCGTGTTCGATGCTGTAGGTATTTCGCAAAAAAGATAGGTTACCTATTAGCATTTATTCGCTGTCCCTGAACATACCGGTGCGGTCGGCCGTGGCTGTTGCCGTCGTACAGGAACGGGTCGGACACGGACGCGGCGGACTCGCCGGCCGAGTAGTACGTGCCGCCGGGTATGACGCCGAAGTTGCCGGAGCCCAACATGGCGCTTTCTTGGTTGGACGCGGCCATGGTCAGATACGGCGGCGTCAGCTCGGGCAGGTAATCTGACTCCTGGTACAGCCTGGGCGGACGAGAATGACCGATTTGGCTGAACAGCGGTCCGAACGCGGGCAAGAAATGTTGACTGTCCGCGGACGTGTCCCGTCGGTCCTGCGCGAACAAACAACGTGTGTTTACCATACGTCCGTAGAGCCAATGGGGAATATTGATTGACAATGCAATGGCGTAGCAAGTTTATAGCGAACTGTGCCTACGCTAGGGGCGCAAATTGCAAAGGGGCGCAAAATTGTGCAAAAGTCGTATTTTTATCCTACAATTAAATCGACATTTTTCCATTATACTTTTTGAAATACGTAGATGTTGTCTATTTGTACACACTACATGTGAATTTAATGATGAAATTATGAAAATAGGATATTTAAAAAAAAAATTTCATATGAAGAAATCGATGAATTTGCCATTCATAAAGCGAGAAAAGCAAATTTTCAAAGTTTAAAATTAACACTGTAATAATAACTTGTATATAATTTAATATATAAATTGTATATTTAAAAATATTAGTAAAATTAAAGGTTAAAAAAAATTTCATGACATCAAATTTTAATTGGTTAGAAAGGTAATGTTTTCCAAGTTTGCCAGGGGCGCTAGCCAGTCTTCTTACGCCACTGTGGCAATGTACTGGGAGTTGCCAAATTCGCATCACCGAAATAAGCGTGCATGTGTCATATTGGCCGTCACGCGGATAGTCGAAAACAATGTTTGCAATTTGCACCGAAATCTGTATGTATTATCTGTTATTCAATTATTTCATCAACCCCCTCGTTAATGGCTAATACACGGACTCAATAACTCGACGGATTCTAATAACATTATTATACAATTTTTCGGGATTTCAACCACCCATCCGCCTACTACTTTGTATTATTATTTAATGGACAAAAAAAAAACCCATAATCTTATCTGTCGATGCATTTATAATATTTCGTAATATTTTATAACTTCCAAGTCATTATGGAATATCACAAAATAGCGTGATTACAAATTAGAGAAATAACCAATCTAAAATGGAAAAATGTAATCAAAAATAAAAATAAAATTTAAAATTTGATCAAAAATGGAATATTCTGTATTATTAGTTTCTTGTATCTCAATATCTTATGCTGTGCAGTCCACTATCGAAACACACACGTACTATCAATATAACAATCGATTTTAACTTTTTACATATTATTATTTTATCATTATTGATGGTGCTAATTACAAATGCATTTCAGAATTTTGATGAAAATTTCACATGTTGTTTATATTTTGAATCAATTTTGGTGCAAATTAAATTGACTAGAATACACTTGTAAAACATATACCCAAGTAATATATATTCGACGCCCGCAATAAAAAATATTATATCGTTCATAAGGTATATTTCTCACAATAAAAGTACTTGAAAAATATATAAAACAATTTGTACCACTTATCACAAACACTCTTGGTATTATTGTTTTAAATATGAATACTAAAATAAGAATACAAGAGTATGAATTTCAATAACAGTTTTGACTATTCTGAAATGTTTGAAACGAGTACAATGACTTTCTTCGTTATGGTTATTAAGACAATATTTTATTTATATCATAACGCCTAGGTGGTGCTTATTGATTTTAGTGGTCATTTTTGTTTGTTTAGTGTACAGTATTTAAATTATAGATCTTATGTTTATATAATGTACATAGTTTTCAAATTAAATATTTAAAAAGTTCTATTAAATTCCATGTCACTAAGTTAAAATAAAAACAAAATTTGAAAATAAGAGGTTTTCTCATAACGATTACATCATTTAAAATTAACATAGTACTTTTAATACTTAGATTTAAATTGAGTTCACATAAGCAGTTATTATTTTATCGGAAACATACAATCTCTTCGTTAACTTTCGTTTTCGAACTATTAATTTTTATACAACATAACTGAGTTAACATACAACTTTTTTTTTTTTTAACTTATAATTTTTGTTTTTAAAATTTTAAATTAAAATTTTTTCAAACAGTAAAATGTACATACATTTAATTTAATTCGATGGGTTAAGAAAAATGATTCGATATCTAGGAATGGCGTTAATACTTTCGATATGTTGATGCATTACCGTCACTACAGTTCATCTTAATTTTAGATTATCATAAATATTCTGTATGGGAGAATCGAAATTCAAAATTTGACTCCTACTGTTAAAAAGAAATCTTAAAACCATAAAAATAAGAAATAATATTGCGTATTATTTTGAACACTATATAAACATATTAACATTATATAAATACATAGGTATTATAAAATGGAAGATCTCATTATATTTAAAATACTAATTAAATATAATTAACCTAGTCAAAAAGTGGTTCGCATACAACCATTATTATATGACTTCATATTATAGTATTTGTATGTAAGTATAATATAGTAATAATATGTTTAAAGACAATACACACAAAATTATGAGAACATTAAATTTAATTTTCAAGTATTGTTACATCAACAATTCAATTTTATAATAAGCATAATAGCTTATGGCAAATAAAATATTTTTTAAATGTAAACAATTTATATTTAAAGTAATTGTTTTATTTAATGTATTTTACACTAAAGTAACTGCAGACACGTTAGTAGGACGAGTAACCGATTGAAATTGTCTTAATAAATAAAATTGAAATTATACTTACAGCTGTATCTTCCGGGCTCACTCTCTTCTGACGGTTAATCATATGAGATTCTGTAATATAATTATATTATTTATTAGTATACACACACACACATACACATATACGTATATATATACTCGTATATACATTTGTAAATGTTACAGATATTTTTTTTCAGTTTTTAAAATAATGAAATTTTTGTTAGAATATATTTAATATTTTGTTTAAGAAATTTGTAAATCATTCACTTGTTAATAACTATTTGTGATGTACTCGTAATAATATTTCAAACAATTAATTTAACAAATTATTTGTACAAACATCTTCCTAAATTATTGAACAATTTTATAATGATTATAAAATAACAAGTTCCCTTCAATTTGGAGAAAAGTACTATCAAATATGAAATCAAAAAATTATATTTATTAAGTACTTTTCATTTAAACACAATTCGTTGTAGAAAAATGATACATTTTATTTTTTCTAATTCACATTCTGTTGTTAATTTGTAATTCATTATTAACTTATATTGTATCATAGTGTTATTACTTTTTATTATATTTTAATTCAAAGTCAACAAGTATGTAGTTAATTAACCAAATTAATTCAAATTAATTAATCACTTAAACGTAATATATATATGTATATGTATATGTTTTTTTAGAAACTGGGGCTAAGTTATTTTCGATGAAGAAAATGCATGTATTAGATAACAATTAAATGCTTCTTCTTTCTTTAGTATTCAATATAATCTCAGTAATCAATTAAATGCTAATATTATAAAAATAACATATCCATTTTAGCGACCAACACAAAATTCGAATTATTCTCATTTAAATGATCACTCTCACCAAAATTCTGTCCTAGGAGCAAAGCAAACATGAGTTCAATCATTCGGTTTCTTCGGTTTCTTAATAAATTTTTTTCTATTTAACAATTCATCTATATAATATAATACACTTCAACAAAAATGACACTCATTAAAAATTGATTATGATGACTCTGTCTTGTCCCAACAAAATGTCACAAAATCAAACATTTAAATCAAAATCTAATTAATAAATATTATAATTTATATACACAATATAATATGTAATATAATATTTAAAAACATTAGATTATATAATTAATGAACTAATTAACATACACACAAAAGTGTTCATATTTTGACATAATAAACGTGAAAGCAAGCAATTTTGATTTTCAGAACAATTTTTCACGCATTTTATACACCATTAACGTGTACAAATATGTTATAGTTTTCCTACTTTTTTTATTGTTTTTTCTTTCTTTACAATTACCTAACTGATGGTTTTATTATAATAAATAGTTTATGGATAGACTAAGCACAATTTACAAAAATAGCTCAAAGGCCACGGCTATAGTATAATAATATAGTACCTAGATGTCTTGTTTGTTGTGTTAACTATATCCTTGTCTATAATATAAGTCAATTTTTCGGTTTTGTGCTTCATCGGCAAAATTTATAAACAGTTGTATATCACTATTACATTCTCATCCTGGCTTATGGTTATGATATAGTTTAGATTAGTACAATGACATTTTAAACACTATCAGTATTATGAAAATGTGATCAAGTAGAGTACGTTGGTTTGGTTGCGATCTGCAGCAATAACCATGTATTTTTTAATAAATAATATTATTAAATAGTTATGCAATAAACATCGCACGCTTACAATAGGCGATGTGGTTTATGCAATTTGTTTATTTGGACGTGGGGTAATGTCGAAAATCATCAAGTCGTAAAAGGTTACTGTTCGGCGGCTGTGTTTGGAAATACACATAGTACAATATATTAGTGTATACGATTATACGCTAAGGATTCGCTGTATGAATTAACAATCCATAGTTCCTCAGTGTTCCTTGCCTGGAAGCGGTATATCGAAACAGAAGCGGAACACATTAACTTTCACTATTCCGATGATAAAAATATGGTCTACTAAAATATTGAAATCTTATTGCGATTGGATGATTTACATTTGCAAGGTCACTATCCGACTATATCCTCCACCACTATGGTATTATACGAAATATAATACTCATTATACATAGAACACCAAACGAAATAATTTATGGACAAGTACCTATTATCGTAGCAAAGAGCACACGTATGTAAGTACACGTTATTTCGGCAACAATAACAATGTTGTCATCGTCGTCAGAGCCGAACATTCCAATTTTCGAGTCCACATAACCGTATACTCACACATATTATAAAAATGATGACATTACATTGTTGTTGAAATGCGTGCATGTGTTTTTGGTTTGATATCATTTTTTATTTTAATGATGGAGCTATTCTCGCGTGAAATCAACTACGAGTTTCTTAATCACATATTATTATTAAACTTAACACACATTTGTGTATATATACATGTAATATACAATTCGAGAGCGAGTTACAAATCGAAAATGGGTATATAATTACAAGCATGTGATAGTACCAAACATTAAATAATAATACGAGTATATTCAGTAAACATTTAACGATTTTGTAGTCAACGGTACGACGTTTTTTATCGTTTCTGTTAACTAAAGACACTTTGGGAACAGCTTGGGGAGACGTTTCAATGACTAAAAATAATAAAAAATTACAAATATTTTGGGGAGTACAGATTTCTCTATTGCACACAAGCCAATGCTAATTGTTATATTTTCTGAAAGTCGTGGTGCACAAATGGTGTCTGATTTGAATAAGGTTATGTTGATGTTATTGATATGATAAGATTAAAATGTACTTATTTATTGATATAAAATAACAAAATCGGTCATCGAATAATAGTAGGTATAGTAGTCGAAAAATGTAACAAAAATGTGTACATATATTTACGAATAAAAACATACCATACATCGCAAAGCCGTCAATTATATAAGATATAGGTGATATAATTTTACTTGTATGTTTTAAGATAGTATTATAATAATAACAATAATAATAATAATATATGTGACCACATATACCGGTTGACCTAGACTCGTGTAATTTTTATGACAATCAAAACATTCACGTTCTGCAGGTATGTACCTATATATATAGCCAATGATGTAGTCAATATAAAGTATATATTGTATACTTATTTATATATTATGTTATCAAACACAATAATTTTCTATCACATTAAATATAGTATACCACAGCAGCAACGACTAATGTTAGGCAACTGTCGCGGGTTTTGATCCGGTGCGACTATAACAATAATAATGCAACCGAACCGATATCGGCTGTGTCGCAACGCTAAATTGAACACTGTACGGTTTAGAGCGTTTAAAAATTCTATACAAACGTTTTGAAATGTAAGCAGTTTCGTTTGAGTACCTATTGACGTTGGTAAAGGCGGATCGTATCGATTGTGCCTGTAGTTTAAAATAATATAAAGACGAAGGTCAACGGTCGGAAAAAGTCCAAAACACAAAAAAAAAAGTCAAAATAATTATATACGTAGTGTAGCCGAGAAATATTGTATTATCTCATGATATAAGTACAATAGGTGGTAAACTATAGGTATATTATTATTATTGTATTATGTTTGTTAACTTACCTACAGTCAGGATTTGTTACGCTATTTAAAATTTAACAAATCCTTAAATGATTTATTATTTATTTTTATCACAGTTTTTATTACCTATATATGGTGAAAAATAATACTATAAAAACAAGCATTCAATGATTACTTTTTGACCCCGTTTTTTAACTATTAATTTAAATAATATTAAATATTTTTATCATTATCTGGAATAAAATTTGAGTTTATTATTTTTATGATTATTAATATTATTAATCAGTTATAAATTAATTACTTAGAAATAATTCATATAACCCCATTTCATCAAACCTATTCGATCGTGATAACTATTATTCAATTTTACCAATGAAAAATACAGTCATACGAGTAGTTAGAAATTTATTAAAAAAAATAATGATTTTCTAATTTTTAAAGTCAAATGCAGAAGCCACTATAAAAAATGTCTACAGAAGTATCAACCTGAAGAAAAACAAAGTACTGAGAAAGTCTAAATTTCAAAAGCCGTTACTCATCAACCTCAATAAACAATCCGAAAAAACTCAAAGTATCCTTTTGAAAATTTAGCCATACTCTTTAATAGCCTGTCAAATTTCTTACGGCTTTCGGATGACAGGTTTCTTCGTTTACCGACTGTTATATTTTCCTATGTTACTAGCAGCTGTACTTTTATATCAGTTTTACAAAAATCTTATTTACGACATAACATGTATCTACTAAATCAATGTTTTTAATTATTTAATTTTTTTTTCTAGTGTTTATGTAAATCGTTTTAGATTCATTGTGTATATTCATTACATAATCATTTATAAAAACGATGGTTATTTAGACTTGTTAAAAAAAAAAAAAAATGAATGTACTGTTAACAAAGTGTGACAATTGGCCCAATAACCTAGGTTGTCGAATGAAAATGTGTCGGCCGATGTTTAATATCCATGAAATTTTGCACTGTAACAATACTGAATGTATTATATGTATAAATAAACACCTTAACTCCAACCACCATTATTTAGCAACTATTGAAAATTAAATACAATATTTTAAATTAAATTACATTATAGGAATAAAAAAGTATACCGAAGAAGGTACAAGTAATAGTAATAAACAATGCTTCTTTAGAGTAATTAAATTAAGTAAATGAAAGTTCGCGAACTGGTTTTTATTTGGAAACACAAGCAAATGAAATGCATTGATATACATGTTTAATTACTAATTAGTGAAATTATCCTAAATTTTTATAGAATATCAAACTTAATAAGTATGTTAAAAAAAAAAAAAATGTGTAGATTCTGTAGACACTGTAAAAATACATTGAATATATTAATTATGCAGTATAATGCAGTATCTTGGTCATTATTTTTTCAATTACATTCACAATTTTTTTTCTAGTGATTAATTCACAAAAACTATTAACACATGAATTATTTTAAACTAACAATATCCATCTAGGTACAGTTAAATTGGATAATTTTCGAAAACAAGGAGTTAGATTGTGATATTCGAATATCAACCTTTATTTAATTTCATTATTTATATGATATACCATTATTTAATTTATTAAAGGTAAGTTTTAATTTTTTTTTTTTGTTTTTTCAATACCACACAGAACGATTGTCAAAGAAAGTACCTGTGTGTTTATTAATAAAAAAAAAGTATTCATAAAATGAATGGACGATGAAGGACATTTTGATTGTTAAGACTCTTCAAAGAAAGAAGATTTAGTAGTCGTATGATTTTGAAAACAACTTAAATATAGAACAAGGCTAATTCAACGGTTACTTTATAAAGATAACATATATGTATTGTTAACATAAAATCTTCAAAATAGAGTTAAATGAATTAATTTTTTTTATTGTGTAGTTAAATATGAATAACATTAAATTGTAATAGATATCAATAAAAGCGAAATGTTTATATCATACCAATATGAATATTTATTAATATTTTTTACTTAACATTTATTTTCATACTTAATTTATCCACCAAATTAAAGTCAAAAATATAATAAAAGTAATAAAAAAAGTAATTTATTAAATTACACTTAATAGATTGTACAATTACAGTGAACTATAATAATATGTATTACGTTTTTGTTTTGCTCTAAAAATATTTTATACAATTTCAGTGCCGGATCTTTTATTCATACCGTTTTCATTTATTTTTGCATTTATTTCTAATACAATTTCAAATATGATCAGTATTTTCAAAAGTCACCTATACAAAACCTTTGACCGTAGAGATGCTAGAGTGGAATAATCGTAACCTTGATTTACGTATACTTTCACTATATATACCAAATATCGAGTGCTTATACCTACTATCTCAAAATTCTTAAGCTTTCTCTTCCAACACGTTTGGTATTTATAACTATTTTTTTTCACTTAGAAACAAACAGTTCGACAAGTTACATGAGTACAGGTCAAAGCAGATGTGCCCAGCTTTCACCGTCAACTGGTTGCTTGCGTAATGCACCCAATACCGGAAACGGCTCCATATCCCTTAGTCGTTTAGGCGTGCGTTCAATAACAATAGATCGTTGCCAAGTTCAATTATGTCGGAATATTCGGCAATTCCATCAGAGTAATATATTGTTTTAGCTTTGCTAATCATGACTTATGCTGAATGTTAGATCAATAAAATAGTTCCCATAACTATTGTACTATATTAGCTATTGAAGATAAAACAATAACATTATCATTATCTGCAATTTATGATCTCGATAAAACTATTACTAATTTAGAAAGTTTAAAAAAAAAAAAGAAAGATTAACTTATAATACTTATTATACTACTTACATACTTATTTTTTGCTATCTCAAACATAATACATCAATAATGTCAAGTATCAAGATTTATTACCCGCAAGTCCCTATGTCAAATATATTATTCGAATGTTATAAATTATTAACAATAATACGCTAAAATATATACAATACTCAGTTAAAAATATATAATACACTTATTCAAAAAAAAAAAAAAAAATTACATAAGGCAATGATTCAAGTAAATGGGTAATGAAAATGTTTTCATTAATGGTACATCAGTATTCAGAACCACGTATTTATGTATACCTATAAGATATTATTAATGAATATTTAGTGTTCGCGAAATAATATTGTAAACATAATTTTTCCACCTCGTTTTTTTTTATTTATTTGTGAAAAAATACAATATTTAAGAGATTTTTAATATCAATAATAAATTATGGTTACATTTTTTTTTTTGTGGAATACACGTAACTTTAAAAGTATTAAACGTTCCTTGCTTCGTTAAAAATCTAAAACTGTACCTATGTATTTAAAAACATGAATTATATTTTTCACCTAGAATGTTTTAAAATTTTTTAAAATTAAAATAGTTTTTTTAATATTACATATTTATTACCTACATAAATATATATATCATTACAAATTATACATATATTGCCTATATTGTACAATTATATCATACGTAGTATTCTAAGTGATTTGATTATTTGAATGTATCTATAAAATTTATAAAATCAATAATTTTAATATGATTACATTATAATCGATTACTTACAAAATTGTTTAAACAATAATTTAATTTCATGTTTTTACTGTGTAATAGTATTCAAATGATTATGTGACAATATAAAACATAAGTACGTATTATTATAATACTGTTAATTATTTTCTCTATTTTTGATCAACAATTTAAATAAGTGTATTGTACTGCATACATTTTATTACATACAACACATTTAATTCATATAGTTATTTAAAATTCTAAAAAATGTATGTTTTAAATTTATGCGAATTGTTATTTTTGAAAATATAATTAACCGTGCAAACTGTATTAAGGAACATTAAACGATAAAAATAGCTCATACTTAATTCATATGGTTTAAAAGTTTATAATTAATATTTTTTTTTGATTTTTAGCACACAATTAATGTCTAATGACTAAAATAACTAATAATGTAAAGTCTGTTTATCAATATATCATCCATGTATATATATATACTTATAAGTATATATAAGTATACATGCATATATATAAATATATTGTAATAAATATTCGTATATTAAATTAAAATCTTACCTTTTATCATTCTGGTGGCTGCCAACGACATACCATTTAAAGCAGAGCACGCGATTATAAGAGATAAAAGGTTTCGACAAATCATGGTAAATTTCTTTTATCAAATTCAATGCATTTCATCCGAAGTAACCGCTACGTGCGTGAATGCATCACAGTGCAATGGTTTGTATTGTACTAAATAACACGCTAGTATGCTCGTTGACGGTTCGTTTTTTACTGCGACTGATCGAGGAACCGGCTCATGCTACCTACACCACCAGAATCCATCTCCTGCTATTACTATATATTTATCTCAATCACTGTAATATCATACCCTTACAAATGTTTTAAAAAAATTTAACATCTCTATCAATATCACCTTCGTTGTTTTTTATTTTCACAAGTATTTATATATATATATGTATACAAAATATATGGTATTTGTTATCTTTATTGCTACTTGTATACACGGTATATATATCGTATCATTGTAAATCATCAACATAAGCAGTAGGTATAATATAATAGTTTATTATACTTTTTTTTACAATAACATACGCGTACCTATACTCAAGTATCTATACTAGGGATGATGAACCTTTTTAGGTTCAATGCTAAATTTTTTCAATCAAGGTTTTGAAAATCGTTCACATGCCCAAAAAAAAATGAATATTTCTATGAATAAAAATAAAATTACACATTTATTATATTATTTTTATTAAATTTTAGTCTTTCTTAGTGATATATAAGCAGTAATTGTTTCATCGGTCAAAACATTTATTTTCTTCGATTTAATTAAATTCGTTGTAGTGAATAAGCTTTCACAAACATAAATTGAGGAAAAATATAAAAATATAAGGAATATTTTAATTTTTAAATTATATACAATTTGTTTCTCTGAATCTCTCATAACTAACATTTTATAAAAGGTATACTTTTTTTATTACAATTTTTAATAATTTCAATGTTATTCGTGCGCTATTGAAATTTGGAAAAAGAAAGATATAAAAAATAAGTGTAAAATATATGTAATATATGTATTATATGGCTCTCTATGTAACAGAAAAACAACTTTTTGAAAGAATAATAATAACGAAGTACAAGAGCTCTACGGAAGACCCAATATTCTTTCATATACGAGAAGCGAAAGACTTGAATGGTCAAGTATGCATGGAAGACAGATGACTAAATTATTTAACTGGTGGTAGAAATGAGAGGTAAAAGACCTCTAGACAGACCCAGAACAAGATGGAGGGACTCTGTCATGAAGGACCTATAAATACTTCAAGAAAGGGCTCAGATAGACATGGTGTACAATAGACAACAATAAGTTTGTGATGGCAGCGTTGGGCCTTAATGGTCTCTAAAGCTTTATATGATAATGAATCTATAAATTAGTATAATAAACATACAGCTTTAGAAATAAGAAGTAGGTCTATCGATTCTACAGAAATAACAAGGATTTTCTGGGAACATATTATTATTTTGGTTATTCTATGATTTTAATAGCACTGAAGTTTAATTTTTATTAACTTTTTCATAAAATGATACAAATAGTATAGTAATAATAGAGTATAGTATAGTATTTATAATATTATAAATATTAATGGTGTGGCATATTGTAGTCATATTACAATATAGATATACTATATATTAAGCCTTGGGAAGTTAATAATAATTTTTAACTAAGTTAAGTTGATGAAAAATATTTTAAAAAGTTTAAAGTTAACAGTTAACTTAATTTTTTTTTAACTTAGTTAAGTTAAAAGTTATATGATCATTTTCAGTTAACTTATTAACTCAAGTTAAGTTATTTTTTATTTTTTAATATAAATATATAAATACCCAGTAATATAGTTTAAAATAATAAAAATCATATTATTGAACGCAAGAAATAGACAATAGCTTTTCTATACATATAATTAAATTATTAGATACTGATGAATATAATTATGTAGTAGGTACTAAAAAAATACAAAATTCCGAAATAAATACAATATTTTGATTCATTAATACAGATAGGTAGGTATTATACATTTTTTTTAAAATTATTAAATAAAAATAAAATGGTTAGAATGTGAATTATGAATTTTAAGAATGTACTTAATTATAAACTCTAAATAAATTTTTAAGGAACTAAAAGTGAACCCATGTGGGCTATGACTATTTTATCTACTGACATTATTAACTGTTTATAAATATAAATATATATAAGCGTAATCCAATTGGTTTTAATTTAAAAATAACTTATCTTTGGCGAAAATATTTTACAATATGTTTTTGAAAATTTTACATTTTTGATTTGTATCCATACAAATTGTATGTAATATGATATTATATTATTGTATGATACAATAATATAATATCATGTTACTTATTAGTAATTAGTATTTATTAATTATTATTACTGTTTTTATTATAATATACCCGTATGCCGCAGAATGGTATGGTATGGTATATATACAATACACCTATATATTATAATATATACCTATTGGCTTTATGGCTATTGCTAAATGTATTTAATTAAGTTATTTTTATTGAAGAATTCTGATTAATTTTAACTATATTTCTAATTTCCTATTCTAGTAAATGGTTATGCATCATCAACTATAATTTTATAATATTTAATTTAATAAACAGTAACTCGTTATTTATTACGTTTATATCAATTAAAATAAGTGAAGTTAAAAAGTTAAAATTAACATAACTTTTAACTTAACTTTAACTTTTTAATTCGTTTATACCTTGCTATATAAAACTATCTTCTTAAGATACTTAAAATTTTTTTAGATATTTATTTAAAATCTAGAAATCAGATTTTCGGAAAATTAGAACTATAGAAGTTAAGTTAATAAATTTGATTTAACTATTATTAATTATTTAATATTTATAATTAATTATAATATTAATAATTATTTATTGCATAGTATACTTTTTTACAGATAACATTAGAGCAAGGAAAACACTATAGGTGATGTAGCTATAGATATAATTAGAGAACGGATTTATATGTAATAAAAATACAAAAATATGTACATATATATGTAAGTATAATTTATAAAATATGTGCTAAAAACATCCAAATATGTGGGGGAAAAAAAATTTAAAAAAAAAGTGATTATTATTATTAAATTACCAAAAAGATTTGTTGCATTGAATTATTACAATATTTTGTAAATTACCAAATGTTAAATGTCGCCTATTAGGTATCAAAATATTTTTAAACGGCTAAATTATCGTTTCACATCAACCGATGTATTAAAACCATATTTCAAGTGCATACTATCAGAAGGCGATAATTCCAAATTTTTAAAAGGTTGTCTGCCATTCATTATGTCATTGATTGTTTTAAAATCAATATTGCCTGGAATTTTTTTCTGTAACAGCATGAATTTTCTTTTTTTCGACATCTATTGGTCCGCTTACGAGTTTTAATCGCTGATTCAACAATTTGCATACTATCATTTGGGGACATATTTTTTATTAATAATTTTGTTAAATTATTTTTAATTAAAATTAAATTATTTTCAATGTTTCATTTTGCATAATATTTTGAGCTTTTCCAATAGCAATAAAAGTTTCTGGATCTAATTTTGAAATAATTTCTTGTATTTTCGTACAAAGAAGACGTATGAATGATGAAATGATAAAAATATGTTTAAAAATATTTAAAAATTAGTGAAATATGTAAAAATATGTAAAATAAAAGTATCATCATTTTAATATGAATGATTTAAATCATAAACATTTCTTATCGAATCTTAAATATCTCGTTTTAATAAAAATATGCATTTACATATAAATCCGTTCCCTAGATATAATATACAATGTAAATTAAATTATATTAAATTATATCATTTTAAATATGTTCAATTAATATGTAATTAACATTATTTTTCAATAGTGACCAATTTAATGAAATTAATAAAATCGCTTCATAATCACATTTCCATTATTAATATAACCTCAAAATATTTTATCTAATACTCGATTTGATTTTGAAAAATCGTGTAAATAAAATGTAGCTCGATTAGAAGTCTTGTTTGCCTCTCGATTTATATTGAAGTATCGTTACATCTAAATGTACACAGCCGACCTCGGTTTAACAACTAAAAATTAAGTACGAAGACCATAACTTCCTTTTCATGTCTCCTAATCGGTCACACCTTGCTTCCATAATTCACATATCTCCTTTAAACTATCCTTGAATAATAATTCTTTACTTTGTACTTCTCGCAATAGTTTAATTATTGTCGTTAGACAATAGACGTCTATAGAATCAACAAAGATCCTGTCTGCAGTCCGCCTACTTAAATAACCTCCAATAAAGACTTTTATAACTCAATATAATCTATTCATTTAAATCCCAATTAATATCATTTGATTTTTCGATACTCTTTCTTCCGTTATTCTTAAATTTCCACTCTCGCATATAAATACTATTGAAGCAATTAAATTAAATTTTAATGAGGTAGCTAGACAAGTTTCTGCAAAAAAAAACGTGCTATTTACAAATGGATGTTACTAACAAAAAATATTTAAACATTTTTCTGGAACTTTAAGCTATGCAATTAAATGTTTTCCCCATCAATAAAATTATTATCATAATGGATTGTAAACTATATTAATCAAATATCAATAAAAAATCCAAATCTAAAAAAAGACATGCCCTGGTAAAAATATATTATATCGTACCTGAAAGATAACATAGTATATTTATTTTATTCGTTGGTTTGCACCTGGTAGTATTTCATAAATAATGATGCAGTTAATGTTTAATATTAATGAGTGATTGGCACTAGTCTGAAAAATGATAATGACCTAAGAAATGATAAGGCCCGAAATTTGAAAAAGCAGTACCAACTGACTAAATCGAAAATTATCAAATCCAATTATATAATTTCTATTGATAAAAGTTATACAATATCCCTCAATTTTCAAAGCGGGAAAAATATTAATAGGTTATACTGTTTTCAACAAAAATTTGAATTCTTTTCATTTTTTTGTTTGAATTTTTTCAACAAAACTTTTTATTCTTTTTTTACCTTTTTGTTAGCATATTTTCAATAAAAATAAATCAAATTTTAAACAACTATGATAACATATAATTATATAGGTATAATATTAAATCATAGATATGTTTTCGAGTTAAAACTATTAAAATATTATTTTAGTAACCAATGCAATTAGAGTAGGGTAATGCTTTTCTGTTCTTGTAATTCTTCTTAATATTCAACTAAAAAACATATCCATG